CTTGATATGGACCAGATTCCAATCTAGGACCCAAAGATGTACATGTGCGTGCTAAACTGCTTATCTGTCTGCTTCTTAGTTGGTTTCGGGAGCTCTCCGTCTGACAGTTGTTTTACTTCTCCACTCGCGAGTGCGACATGCATGTTTCACATCGCGCCTCTTCTCAGCCTCGGGTTTCTCGATACCGTGTTTCGCGCACTCTTTCAAATGTCAAAATGTTCCTGTATATTTGGGAAAACAAATGCTGCCTGGACAATGTGTGGAATGGCGACGATTTCCTAAGCGTAACTGTTGGATGACCTGAAGAAATCCATGAAAACTGTCTCTTATGCTCACAGTCAAACTAGTGTTTTGGAACTCAGTGATCTTCACAGTTGCCTTATGAGTAGCGGCTGTTCAATAATCTTCTCTTCCTTCGGGACACAAAACCTTTTTATAAGTTGGCCTAATTGCCCAAAGGGCTCCTTTGAAATTATTATACCATCAAACTTTGCGTGGGTCGTTTTTTACTTCCTGAACCATTGTCAATTTTTTACGTTGGTCACATCTGGTCCGTTTTGCCTTGAATAACATTTTATCAAAGTTGGTCTAGAATAATGTGCTGAGTATGTTTCGTTCTATCGGAACTTCTGTTTTCAAGTCAGCTTCTCTGCTCAGTGTTTGACGTTTTGCTGCTTGCTAACTGTGCTCGCCTCTTTCTCCATCGTCGATCGTTCATTTTGTTCACCCTGACTGTTCTTTACTATTTTTCTCTGTTATCTACCCATTGCAGATCGAACGTAAAGTTGCCCAATGCACATGTTGTACACGTTTACATTTGCAACACCTCGAAGAGGGACGCTATCGTCTGGGGACACGGGTCTATTACTTCCGACGGTTCCGAAGTCACGTTATGGTTCGAGTTGGTGGTGGTTGGCTCACATTAGACGCATTCCTCGAACGACACGATCCATGCCGTCGGGGAAAATCTGACAATCGTTCCCATTACGTGATCCCCACTGCGGATACTGGCTCTTCCGATGTGTCCCTGGAACCGTCACCTGAGAAGTTGACCAGTCAACTCCCACCAATTAAACCAGCCATGCCTCTTGGGGGTTCTATGGTTGATTTACGCCGACGTTGGTCTAAGCATAGCACTAGTAGCAACGAGAGTGCAAATAGCCAGACTAGCGTTCGAAGCACAAACCTGATCGTGACCAATAAGACAGATAGTAACCTTGAAACCAAGGTTCCTAGTCAGACTCGTCGTTCGCGCTCTCCGAATCCGCCACGCACCCGAACTCCAACCGGAACAACTCAACGAAAAACAACGGTACCTACCAATCGTGGTCATACGGCTACGCCGGTTTCCTCTGCAAATGCCAATAAGAACGATATCAATAAGAACAAAGTGCGAGATCCTGTTCGATCCCGCGAATCTTCCCTTGGAAGTCGTCGTGTCACACCCTCGCCTAATGCCCGTGGTTCACGTGCTTCATCCAAAGACTCCAAGCCCACCAGATGGCGTTGATGATAACACCTTTGTCTTCCCCGTACCAATTAGAGCAAAAAACGCGTGCATATGTTTCGAGCAAACGAAATTACTTTCCATACCTAATTGTCTTCGTTCCTTGTTTTTTATATCTTAGTTCTTATTCTTCAAGGTCGCACAGTTCCCAGCCCAACGTTTCCACCAGATGTGTACAAAAGAGTTATTTCTTTCGCTTCCAAATCTATGCATATGAAAACGCAGATATACATATCTTGTGTCCTTTTTACGGCCTATTCGTGGACATTATCATTCCGGGTTGTGGGTTCATCTCTCTGATCGACTTTGTCTTATACTTAGTCGATTTTTTTATTTTTAAGTTCAAATCTCGCAGAACTGCTCAGCTTTTATCCATTCATGTTCTTCATGTTATCCCTACTACACCAACATTGTGCCCATGCTCACCAACACCACTGCCACCAGCATCATCATTATCGTGGTTTCGGTCCAAAAAGCCAGTTGTGATAACATTTTTGTGCTTTGAATATTCCGATCTTACGGTATTGTAAACTTGTACGAGTTCACTTAACAGACACAATTGTTGCAGCATTCTCAATCACTTTATGTCTCTCTCATACATTCCAGAATGAACCTAACTAGAAAGGTTTCCTATTCAGTATGCACGAAAAATCCAAACTCACACTTTGGTTTCTCTTTCTGGTGTAGCAGACGGAAAGTCAAATGCAGAGCTAAAATCTCAGCCTAGTCAAACGCCTCCAGTAAATGAGACTCATGTTGGACAGCAAGCAGTTGTTTACGGTAATCCCTAACCATACTTGTGCATAATCCTAACCGTTGATTTAGTTGTAGGTCATTAGTTTGTTTCCGTGTAAAAGGAACCTGTGCCTAATAGGATTTTTACCTGTCACTGTGGCATTTATCCAATGAGGCCATGCAAGTTGTTCACAATAGTCTGAGTTAATTCTAATGTCGGAACCAGCAGTTTTTGCGCACACAAGCTAGATCCTAGTCAGCGGATTGTAATTGCCTCAAACACGGCCTAGCCGCCTTCGATTGACTGCGAGTAGGGAAGGGGCTATTTGAAACGCTACATTGACTATCTCCGGATTAATCTGGTGGTCGGTGACCACAGGGTTACCTAAGATGGGACCGGAAACAATACCAACTCTCCGTTGAGACCTATTTGTGACCTGAGTAGGATTCAGCACAGACTCTTGAAAGAGGAGATTACCGTGGATAAGATCAAACAATCCGTCCTTCACTTGCATGTGAGGAAAACCTAAAACGAATGTTGAACTTACTAGCACTTTCACTAACTGAACGAGTCTTTCGACCCTGATTGGGACTGATGAACAGTCGTTTGTTTCGGAGGCAGCGCCCTTCGGGGCTTGCTTGGATCTACTGTCCCATGAGTCATTCCGTATAGCAGTTTTACTTGTAACGCCCTTTGGACGAATTTCAATTCTTCTAAATCCAGTGTGTTCTAAATGCCATATAACAAACTATTATCGCTTGTATTTGAACGGGACAAAGCTATGGACTTTTGTGCATTAGACTTTGCAACCGTCTTTGTATGGGATCACGCTGAACTGTAGGAAGTTGTATACGATGGTCAATATCACAAGCATATTTAGCACGTTCCGTTCTCAACCCTGAGGAAACCAATAAATATTTCGTTTCCATCATTTATTCCTGTTGACGTCTTGGTGAATGCTATTACTGGATAAATGAAATGAATTCAAATGATAGGTATATCAAATAGATCTAACATTAAAGTATTGTGATTAATTTAATTTCTCAGGAGATTTCTGAGAGGTGTTGCCCATTGCCCTTCTTCGATCATCAGATGAGTGTTTCTATCGAAACCGTCTTGCATTCAAAATTTTTCGAATACACGGAAAAATAGCAGCTCGGCGCACAAGCTCGTTTTCGGTTATTCGTAATCATGAAATGGCAATAACATTAAGCACTTGATTTATTTAATTATATATATATGGTGATTACAACTACACAATTATATTTCATTAAATATCTGGTGAATAAACGTACATCGGATGACTGAGAAATCGATGAGGTTGCTGCTCACTGCACTCTGTTGACAAACATATTTCTCTCGGAGGCGAGATTTAACTGTTTGTCCCACCCCGCCCCGGGAACGTAATATCCTTGACCGTTGTTCAAGTGAGCTTTATACGAGAATGAACGAGCTCGGCGGTAATTCACCTGGGTCGGCAGGGTGAAGAAGCGAATCATGTCAAAACGAGTCGGTCGCCGTGCTCAGGTATGGGTGTTGGCCTGACTCATTGATTGTGATTGATTCCAATTTTGGCCCCCAATAGCCTAGTGCTTGAATTCCATTGAGACCTAAATTCCCTCGAACAACTTCCCTTTTTGTAACTAAGTGCGATTCTCTGGATATTTTTGGCAATGAAAGGCACACAAGATACCCAACAATGATACAAACATGTGGCGAAAGAGCTATCAGTAATTCACTTTGAATAGCAAGACAAATTTTAAAGATATTCCTGGGGTAGATTACAGTATTCCATCTACAATGTCAACTACATGATAACTACAAACAGTCAAACCCTAGCTCACCGAAACTTTCAACCTTGCTCGGTAACTCACGCATAATAAATTTATTGGTCCATACAGAAATCTGTTCATTGCGACTGTACTGGGTTTCGATAAATCCTGTCTAATCGGTGACGTGTGTCGGCCGAAACACCATTCAGCTTGCGAATTCTCAGCAGAGTGCGATTGGTTAGATTCACTTAAAGTTACAACAGATTGATTAAAATTGAGTGAATGCACATTAAACGTCATAAGGTTTTAGTTTGATCACATTTGGCCATCTTCCACTCAATATGTACCTCGGCAAAGATTGCATACGCAAGAACTGTCTGATGACATGCGTCATGCATACCCCAACTAACGTAGAATTTAGGGGCTGTTTCAGTTTGCGACCGCGATTATGTAAAGCTCTGCATTGCTTCGCTGGTGCTTCTCGTGCAATGCGACGCAGACAGTGGTATTCAAGTACTAATATTCTTTCTTTATCCTGTTCCAGTAACGGCTAAGACTGCATCATTTTAGGCACATGAGTCGGACAGTGTGTGTCTGGAATTTTACTCAGCAGTACAAGAGCCTCAGGGTCGAACTTAGTTTCGGTTATTAGTAAAAAGCGATTGTAACAGTGATTCACTTCTCCGGTACACCATTCTCGGAGGCTCAGTGCGACCGAGTTATTGTAAGGCTGATCCTAAATCAAGAAACAGAAATTTGTTAGGAACCTTCGGTGGGAAGCTTTTGCAACGGTCTGTTTGGCTTCGGATGTTGTAATAGCGATTTGGTCGACGGAGCGTGCATACCTGTTTACGATCACTAAGTGCAGGATACACAGGAAAAACCATGTGATGTTCACTTACATGAGTGCACTGCCTGTTTGGTGTGTGTGTGTGTGATGTCCTTTGAGTCCGTCATGCTTAGGTGGGTATCTTGTTTATCCTTTCCACGTTACCTGATCTTATTGGATTTAGTTTCCACGGAAAATTTACGTGCAATGCTCATTTAAATTCTGTCATCTTGTGCACAGCATATGTTGGAATAACGAGATGAAGAAAATCAATCTACGTATATCTAATGTGGCATGGTTTCAGTGCCAGGTCATTGTGGCCCTTTGTTCATGCTTGCTAATGTGATTCATCTGTTTTCACACGTGCTTGCGGGACTCAGATTCAACAAACATGCTATCCAGTTCCACTCTTTGTTGATCATTCGACGGATCAGGTCATGTGGGTTACTTTTTGGCGAATGAACTCTTTTAGGTAGCGTGATACCTATCAATCTTATTTCTTTTGGTGTCCCCGAGAAAAGCGCTAGATGTCAGTCCTTATTTGGTGACCAACTAACGTTCCGAGATTCTCCGTCAGTTTCGTATTCGTCAAATTTCTACAAGCTCGTGATGCCATTCGGTAAGCCGGTCACCTTGTTGCACGTATGTGAACCGCGCTATATCCTGACCTAAATTCCGTCTTGTGGATAAGACCCTGAATGAAATGTAATCACACACACAGGCTTGCTTGGAGTTCTCTGTTTAAGCTTATTTGTGAACGGAAGGCAGTATCTATCAGCCTGATCTTCAGGAGTCCAGTTTATGATGTATCGGTCAGGTCAACTCTACTGTAGAGGTTTTTTCTGCCACGTATACAAGATAAACACAGACTGAAGACGGTTCTAATCTCAGCTGCTGCAAAATCCAATGTGGAAAATTTGTTTTTGTATTGGGTGACTTCACATTTGATGTGTGAATTGGTCACTACAGTACACTTAGTTTAATTTGAACCAAAAAATTTACTTTTTTTCTATTGATAATTGGGTAATGTGATTACTGCCGTAGTGAGAGAACATTTCTGGTGAAGGAGCGCATTTGGAGACAGCACACATTAGAGGAGATTGAAATCTTCTGTTCTGTCGAGATGTCATAAAACAGTTCATGTTCTGTACTATGCCTGTCCAACTTTATTTTGCGGACGGTGCAGATGCTCCAAATTGTTCAATGACGGAGATATGATATTCCCCATACTTTATGCCTTATTTCATATGGAGATATTTTGTTTCATTTCCCATATTTGTATAATCACCGGCATTAGTCATTTGTGTGATGAGACCGTTGTAACTTCAAGTGAATCAACCTGGTGGCATTCTACTGGAGACTGTAAATTGATTGGTGCGGTTGCAAAGATTCATCTATCGAAGACTAAATTTGAGATCACAACAGATACATCAGAAGCTGGTCTTCTTTGTTTTTAAGGTATGAAGAACGATGTATTACTGAAAATTATCACTCTCATTTGTCCCATATATGGTAAACATCGGCTTGGTTGAGGATCGTTTATTCGATGAAAAGATTGGCATTTCGTTCGGATTTCTGAGTGGTGCGTGGGTTTGGTTAGAATGAGTGAAGGAGTTCAGCTGATACGACACTGCCGATTCNNNNTCGTTGGTATGCTGTTCTCGGG